TGCTGTTGGGAAATCATCTGCCGCAATCGCCAAATTGCGCACGCGACGTCCTAAGCCTGTCGGTTAGTCAGCATACATCTTTTTCGCTTTGCTATCATACTCTGCATGAAAGGCTATAAAATGCTTGTGGAGAGTCCGGTTATCCATTTTTTGCTTTATCATCTTATATGGAAAAGCGATGATGAAAAGTTATAGACATTTACGCCACGCTTCGATTTTTCAGAAGATGAGAGCACCTCCGTGCAGCCTTCCACCAGCGGGGAAGAAGAAATGGCTGTTGTGGAAGTGGTTCGAAGTCATAGAGATCCTTTAGGTGGTGGACTGATCAAGGATCCAGTGAAAAGCAAGGTAATCATGCGCTGCTGTTTTTTGTTGACTTCCAGCTTCAGACTATGTGGTTTTCTATCTTTTTGAACAAACCACTTGAAGCTTTGCACTCGGAAAGTTTCGAATGTTTGTCCAACTTTTCGAAATTATCAAAAATGCTTGATTACTTTCCAGGATTGCGGCCATGTGTACGATCGAACAACGCTGCAGCAGTACATTCGTGAAAATCGAGAACGACGTAATGCAATTTATCAGTGCCCATACAGTTTGTGTAGGAACAAGAAAAATATGTGTATGGACGACATGATCGACTGCCCAGAATTCCTGGCATCCTGAAGATCAAATCGGCATTTGATCCGAGTTCGTTGGAGGTAGCAGCTTTGGTTTGTTCTAATAATTTTTGCTTGATTGGCACTTCATGTTTGCGCAACAAATTCTATCTTTTTGAATTTTTGATGGCAATACCGGGAAACTTTGTATCATTTTCTTAGCAACTATAAGATCAAACTCCAACTTTTTGATTCTGATCCTCAACTTTCTGAAGCATGATCAAACAATTATTTTGATGTAGTCAGTTGCACTATTTTTCCAGCGTTCCTTCCTCGATCTCCTGTTGCCTTCAATCTTCAGCCGGAAGTTGTTCGCACACTGTTTCTACCAATAATTGTCATTGTTGTCCTTATCTTCCTTTTCCACAGCCTTCTATATGCATTTTTTATGAATAAAAATAGTACTAAGTTGGTGCTAAAGCCTTTGCTTCATCTTGAAGCTCCAACATCTTGCTTCGTCTCGATAACTAGATTTTATTGGAAATTACTTCGCACACATCTGAGCAGAGTTAGTCAAATGGTTAGTGCTCCATGTGACACTACAGTGCTGAAGGTCACGGGTCCGACCACCCTGAGCCTAATTTCTGC